GGTGAAAGATGATATGCCTTTGGTCCTGGCAAACCTTTCTGAGTCCGGATGTGCTCGTGCCGCAGTTTGGAGAAGGTCACTACAACCACCTATCATTCGCCGGATGGCAGTAAATGGCGCACTTCCGGGGCCTCCAACATTTATTAATTGTTTAGGAAAAACACGCGACTAACAGATTTGGGTAAGACTTTTGAAAGCAACCAATATCTGGCCTGTAGGTAAAAGTTCTATATTCACTTATCACAGATGTCATGGATGTCTGACGTCCGGTTTTGTATGCTTTTTGGAAAGTGAACAGTTTGCCTTCATACGTAGACTGCTTGGATCGCTTAGAGATCGGCAAAGGATATCAAGTAAAAACGTTTGTCATGGACAAACGGGCGGAACAGATACTGGCGGTGCGAGTAGTATTTGGTTTCTGTCATATCGTGCCATTTTCACATGCAAAATGCCATCAGCAATCAGGTATGTATCGTATATTTTGGTCAGTGCCACTCATGAGAACAGCCTGAAGAAGTGCATGCACTTCTCCGGCATAATTGAACATGCCATACGGGAGGAACACGGAAAGGCTCAAGCGGGAATATGTGATGCATACGTTGTACCTATTTGATCGTAGGGAAATCATGGAGGACGACAGCCACATCCCAAACACTATCTTTCGGATGGTTACATATGCGTCTTGCCTCATTTTGAGGCACATTAGGTCGCGAACCTAAGGGCTGCACCGCTGTTGTGTTGGAAATAACAAGATAGGGCATATAAACGTTGACTAACTTGTAGTTCCTTGTGCACACACCAAAGTACTCCCGTGTGCTGGTAAATGCGTATGCCCCTTCTGTATGTCAATGTGACTTCCATGTATCCATTTGTTATCCGTGCTAAGGAACCAGTCTGTTTCAGGCAGCAAGATATATTATTTATAAATGATTACCAATGTCGCTTCCACATTCACCGACGCTGATTGTCCGACTGCAAACCACCGGAGCAACAAAATCATCTCACACTTGTTTCTAAGCCACCAAAATCAGTTTTCAGCAGCCCGCGTAAGCAATCGCATTGGTATAAACAAACTAACTAGAAATTGGAAGTTTAGCAAGATGTAACAAACATCACGTATGTACCTGAATGGATGTGCGTGCACATCCCTGGGAAGTTAAAGCAGCAGAATGACGAAAAGAGCAACGATTAGAACATTAACCATGTTCATTACACGCGCCGAAATTTAAATGAGAATGTGGGTGATAATAATTCAGCGCTGGCCCTAATCGTAATATTTCGGATCTTCTCGGATTGGAAACTTTAGGCCCTTCACAATTAGAATATTCTTCAATAACAAGTGAATCATAATACCGAGAAAAGTACCGCAGTAGTCGGCACGAACTCGTTGAAATGTTTCACAAGTAACTTGTCACGGATACCACTGTGGGGATTTCCTGTGAAGCTTGTGCATACGTTGTAACCTCATGTTTAGCAGTATGCTTGACGTCGGCATCTAGTGCCGACCACGAGCATGACGGGCATGCAAGAGTTTCAATGGAGTTTATCAATATTTAGATGACCGGAATGCAAATCCGCAAGAACAGCCGCTCACTGAGTTAGTGAATTGGTAGGTCTATCCTCGAGGCGCAAAACACTATACGGGGTGGTGGACAAAGTTTCGCGGCGACAGTAAAGTGCGGGAAATTGAAATCTCTCCTTCTGTGTCCAGACATGTCGGAGGGCAGAGAAAATGGAGCAAAATGTGTTTTAGTATCAGCACCGGGCGCATCCCAATTGACTGGTAATGGTTGAATCAGTGGACACTATGAATTATTTGCGTGCTCGTGGTGTTGGTTCGCTGAAATTGTTCACACTTGAATACAGACGTCTCCGGATTGATCTCATCTATGTTTTCCGTGTTTTGTGCCTAAACCATTTTCCGCAGTTGATGTTCTTGTTTGACATTCCAACAACCAACATCACCCGAGGACATCGATTCAAACTTACTGTCACACGCATGGACAATGTGCCTCATGGGTACAGTTTCTCTCGCCGCGTTGTGTCATTTTGGAGTCGTTTACCGGCAAATGTCGTTCAGTCAGAAACAGTTCAAATTCTCAAACGTAGTTTGGAGGAACATTTATCTGATCTATGCTTCTGTGAGGATATCTCCTCCGCTCTGGTCCCGAAAGTCAGCTAATCCACTAGCGGACCACGGGCATATATGGAATGATATTCGCATTTTTTCTCTCGCTGGAGTGTACACAGAATTTTTTCTTTTGCTCCAAATATATGATTCTGATTCTGAATCGGAGTTGCATGATAGAATTCTGGATAAGAAATCGGTGTGTGGAATCATTTTCGCACTCTCATTTACAAAAGTCAATATATTGGTGTACATCCCAATGACTTGACCTGGTGGTGGATAAACTGCAGGTATTTGAAACCAGAAAGGCAACAACCTCTTGCAGCCGTTGCTTGCCAAACTGTCCGCAAAGGAGGCGTGTTATGATGTGACCTGGATCGAAGCACAGTATCGTGGCACAATGTGCCCGGAAGTTCCCATTTTCTGAAGAGACATCACGCGTTTCGGCAAGTCTCGTATCACCTGAGGCCTAGTACTCGGGCGGCATGAGCTGCAACCAAAGCAATACTAACCAGCCACTAAAGATGATTTAGGTAAGCACGGTTCTACGAGATCGTCGTCGCCCGGAGTGCTCGCCTTATAGAGTGGGTATTATTCCCAGTTTGCCAGCCGCCTGCCATGTAGTGATTTCCTCCAAAACTGACTTGTATCTCCCTCTCGTTTCGGGACGTCAATAGCTCGCTGAACACTACGCTTCCTGCCAAGGCATATGTGATAATCAAAACACTTAATAAAATTTGACTTTTTAATCCGTCCAAGTTGGACCGTTGAATTTGCCGACATTCATCCGAGTAGGGATGAATGGGCATGTGTTAGCCAGTTGATCGACTGGATTACATCTAGCTAGTTAACTAGGCATCATGTACCCGTAACCTCATGTCAGTTGTGTGCGACGGCCAGATTCGCCCAGCTGGCCGCTATGGTCGACATGGATTATCTCCAGCCAACTGACTAGGCATCGTGGAGCCCTGACTGCATTTTGGCGCGTGTGTCGGCTAGGTCCTCATTAATGTATCGCGCAACTAATGATAGCCTCCTCCATTTAGGTTGGACCTCAATGGTAGGCATGATGATGAGCTACTCACCATGCGCATCACAAGCGGCAAACGACCTGACAAACTCCCGGAACCGGCTATGGAAAACTTGGCATGTTTCACCATTTTCGTTTGAGAACGCTCTCGTAGTGCACCTACACTCCTCAAAACTCGTACAAGTGGTCCAAATATGATGAATGTGCCTACCGCGCTCTTCATTCAGGATGACGATTCTTGAGTTCCAAGAACACAAGGTTCGGTATTCGTCTAGTCAAGCAGGAGATAGAAAGCAGGATTTCATTACAGAAGGGACTCACGCGTGTTTCGCACCCATGAGGCCCCACGTGGGCGCGAGCACGCTGAATGAACGTATTCCGACCGCAGAGCTATCTTCAAACTTCGTCCATTGTAAGTGCCTCATATTTTACCACAATTCGCGATATATTATCTCATTGAGTTCCGATGTTCCGTTTTGTGGTGATTTATTATCTTGAAGATTCGCTCACTTAAACAAATCAGCCGTAGGGAGAATTTGTATGAAAATGGTTCACGCATTGACATCCTTGGCTATGGAGTGATACATTGAAATACCCATAGTTTGAGAGGCGTGTGTTAGATTGTGTTGCTGACTTGCTTTGTTTTGTGCCGAGACTGGTTTGAAACTCATTAATGTGAACGCTACTCTTCGGTATGCTCCCAGCTCCAACCCACGCAGTTTTCTCGTGACAATGTTTGCTGAGCGCTTCTGACTACGTCTATGTTATATTTTGGCAGTTGCCTGGGGAATTTCAATTATCCACTCGTTTGTGGATGTTGGTTTTCGAACCGACGGTGCAAGCCAGATAACACCTCTTAGCAGATGGTTAAGGTGTTTTCTCTCGCATGCACTCCGTGCAGTATGGAGGGAAGCAATCTGACGCGCAATTCCTCTAGTAACTTGGTTTCCAAATCCTCGATGTCCTCTGCCTTTCTGGAACGCGTTCGTGTGTGACCAACAAATTCGTGCTTACGGGAAGCTGAACACACGCTGAACACGCCTCTACATAATTATGAAGATATTAGGATCTAGATATCATTAATGATGCCTTTGTACACCCTTGGACTACGCGATGACTCCGTTGGAAAATTCGGCCCAGAAAATATTATTTTTCAAATAATATAATGCACTTTCCTGCATACTACTTAGATGGACTTCCAAGTTGTCTATCGAACTCAGTTTACTCCGATCCTTGATTGCGCCAGCCGACTTGTCAATGAAGACCCTGCCTGCCTAACCAGCTGTTGCGAAATATGCTGCCGGTCCGACCAACAGGCCCAGGTTCCACGGGACGTCTGCCAAAAACAATGCGGGAGCTTCCAGTCGGCAACCATTTTTCTCGCTTCGGGCGGTAGGCGCGTGCAACAGGCTTCCTTTGATAGTTGTTCGCGGTGCACATCGGATGCAGTTCAAATCATGTTTATATGCTTTTATTTGAGTTCTACGGTGGTACGTTTACCACCCAAAAGTTGGACGGCAAAAGGCTATGGTTCACTTTATTCACTTGTGCCCCTCAGGGAAACAGAAGCCGCCGAATAACTAGAGAAAATTCTACCCGCAAACTTTGTGCAAGCGTCGCGATCCTGCCTACCATTTGATAAATCCTTGTCTACTCAGCATCAAAAACGGTGAGGGGAAAACCTTCCATCTCTTTCAGTTACCGTTTAATTCAAAATCATGATGCCATGCCCGACGATTGAAGCATAGTTGCCGTTGGCTTGATGAACGAGTATATCCAGGCCGTATCCATTATACCCCATGGTGGTGAACTGAATCCGTGAGATCGCTCTCAAGGTCACCAGTGACCTTCGCTGGATGTCGTATGGGGAATAGCGTTGACGGGGCCATGAGCACCGCGAAGCTGCTGCCAGCCGTCGTGATTGCCTCAAAAACAGCACCGACTGCCACAGTAAGTTGAAGGGGATTTTTATTCAGTCGGTTTTTTGTTAGTTATTGCTGTTTACTCGACTGGACCGCCCTCTTAAAATAAACCAAGCTAGTTGCTATTCTGACTGACGTCGATTGGGAGCCACGTGAACCTTTCCACTATAATAACTAAAATGTGTGTCTGGTGTCCCACTAGGCGTGGCGTTATTTTGACATTTGAACGCTGAACCGTTCTTGGCGTCAGGGAGGGAGTTGTCTGCATCCTAAATACGATCCAGAGCATTTACATATCGGGCTTTTACTGTTTGGCTTCTTGCGGAGTAGACCTTCCACACTTTCAGGCTCTTCCGCGGTCATTCTATCGGGGACCACAACGCTGTTCTTCAGACGGGAAAGAACGAACAAAAAAAGCCTCCGTTGGGGTCGTCGGCTCGTCTTTTGCGTCGCTGGCCGCGTGAAAACCTGAAGAGGCGCACTGCGACAAATGATGTCCCCATTAGGTT